ACATGACGACCTTATGTTAAGAGGAGTTTCAACATCATGCTCATCTATGTCTATCGAGTTGGTGTGTGCTGTTTTCGGTGAAGAATTAAGCATTGGAGCACTGGATTTGCTATAGGCTAAGGCATTTTTATTTTTAGTTAAGCCAGAAACATGGGTAGGGATCTTTATTTGACCTAAACTTGTGCATGTATCAAGTGTGCTTAATGGATGCGGGTGAACTAGACTGTTCCTATATTCATGCAAAGGGGGAGTCACCACTACCGGTTTAGGAGTGTTGACATCCCTACCAGCTGTTTTTTCAACGCTGACAGGGACGCAGGGGATAAAAAATGATTAGGACCTCGTGGAGACCATGGTTTATTTTTCCATCTATTGTTAGGTACTAGTTGTGTCCTTGTATGGGTTTCGTGTGTACTGCTTTGTGGGTTAGTTCCCAGCAGACTTGTACCATATATCCGATCAAAATTTCTTTGCGTGCCATACTGTGAATACCCTGAGTTGTTGTTGGTCGAGTTCTGACTATTGCCACTTGTACTATTGAGGGTGGCATCGTTGTGGCGTTGGTTATCAGTGTGTGCCATGGTGCTATTTCACACGTTGTGAGTGCTAGTACTATTGGCCATGGGAAGTGTGGGCTTATTTATACTGCCATTGTTATTGTTGGCGTGATTTAGGGTCTTATTTTCATGATCGTGTACATTTTTCTGAGAAGCATTTGGCGAGTGTATTTGATTTTTCGGTGCCAGTGACATATTTTGAATAGATTTGTTAACTATTTTCTCTTTACCAATGGAGTTAGGGCTAGGAGAGGGCAATGTCGAGTTTCAAGGGACTTTGACTTTTTTTCTAGGGTTATTTAGTGACATGTCTATATCTGCGGTGATAGGTGGTATGGTTTTATTAGCTATTTGATTGCAATCTAGTGGCCTTTCGGTCGGTGTTGCACTCTGAGGGGATAATTCTGTGTGGTTTGAGAAGGGTGGTGCGGTGAGTTCTACGGTATCTCTCAAAGGGTTGGGTAAAATGGCTGCTTGCAATGTCCTATTATTTATTCCACAATTAGGCTTAGTGATATAATTATATACGCGCCTTTCTATTACTGTCTTGTCTACCGCAACCGTTATTAGTTTGTAGTTTCGGGCTTGCGATAGGGTGTGTTGGGAGTGGATGAATTTTCTGGTCTCTGCCGGTGTTTCGAACTGAAGACGAATAGGACAACACTTTTCATGTTGACTCTTCTTCAGTCTATAGCACTTAGTGAGGCGAAAATTCCCAACTCCCAGACTAAGTAAGATGCGCTGTACCCTTTTTAGTGGCTCATTGTCTGGAACATTGTAGACAATAGCACTCAGTTTCGCGTCGAGTCGTTTTGTTACTTCTGTAGTAACAAATTTAATGAGGTTATCTACCTTAGTTACCGATTCTGTGACAAGTTTGTTAAGATTTACAGTTTTCATGAAGATATTTAGAGGTGTCAGTTCACAGACCCGCAATCTGATATCGCTGATCTGATCTAATAATTTGGATGTCTTGGTATTGCTTTCAGAATTTACAGCATTGTATTTCATTTCCCTTAACTCAGCCTTAAGTTCTCCAATAGACAACTTTAGAAGTTCTATTTCTGAAGATGGTACTGAAACAGAGCTTGATGGCTGGAGTTATTTGAAAAGCCCATAAGGTGTAGGGAGGGTTTCTGTATGAGCAGAGGGTACTGAATTTTTAGGAGTAGTGCCAATACTAGCTGTCAGTACAGATTATTCCCAATTCCAGCTCGATGCTTACGGCATATAAGTGAGTTATTTGGCTCATTATAAACGTTTGTAGGGAGTGTGTTGCTTGATGTAGCAATCGAAGACATAAATTAGTCACCAAACTTACAGGGGATTGGGTTCGTTGCTCTTTACTTTGATTAACCATAACTATTTAATATGAGAATTAGTGGTTACAGGTATGGAAGTAGTATAGTACTTATGCAAGGATAACAACAAGATAAATTTTATGCAACGAATCAAGCAAAAATATTAAGCAAAAGTTGAACGTACCGCGAGAAGCCATTTCTCACTGAAGTGTCACTTTTATACTTCACCATAATCTCTTTATCTAATTTCCATCATGCTTTACTTCATCTTAACTACCTAGGCTTTTAATATAGCTAAAATATACTCTTTTCATTCACATCCTTCGCTCGCTTAAAGTCTGGTTGCTTTGACGAAAAATAACAAAACCGATGTTTGCGAAAGGTCATGTTTTCATCGAAAATGTCATAGTTTCCATGGTAAGACAAATGTGGTTAGCATTAAACGTTGCGAATGTATGTTATCATTCTGTAGCTCCTCCTCGTATTTATCTTGTAAATGCGCCTTCAATGATGTATTTTCCATGATCGTATTTCATATCATTTTGCAGCTTTCCAGGACGTTCTTTTCCTCCTGAAATAGCCATAATCATGTGAGGGTATGGCACTTACAGGCCGGTCATTTAAATGGCCATAACTATCAGCAGGAAACAAAATGTGGATCGTTGCTCAACCTTTATGGTGACCTTATTGAAGGGTTTACGATTTAAAATTTCTGCGATTCTGGTCTGATTGCCTGTGCTGTAATTCAATAATTGAAACTTTTGAAAAAGTTATGATTTATAATAACTCACAATTATAATTAATAACATAACTGATCTTGCCCGTAAAATGGCATTCATTTCGTGGAAACTAACCTGTTAATGAGCAGTATATTATTGTATCTTTTACGGAGAAAATTGACATCGATTGCAAGACAGCCTTCCTTCTTACTTTATTGATGAACGTATATAATTTTATTTTGGAAACCATTGCATATTCCAAGTTCCGTGGGCTTGGTCACTGTGGTGCTCTGAGAAACTTTTTCATGTTGCGCTTCATTCCTGGTGGTTTCACCGGAGTCGAAGGATGGAGTTTAAATTATTAATTTTTTGAGAAAGGGCTGATTTATGATAATTCACAATTGTAATTAATAACATAACTGATCTTGCGTGTGAAATGGCAGGCATTTCATGGAAAGTAGTGAGTACCAGTCTAGTATGGCGTACTCATCCCTCGAGGAGATTGAATGGGTCAGAGTAATTTGCACAAAGAAGTTTCGTTTCATTATAATACAAATGTAGTTGACTTGCATATTAAGTAAAGTCCGTACGTCTCTGGCCACTTCTCATTCATAACCTACTGCGAATTCGTCTCTGAACTACCCCGTGATTTTTAATTGTAAGGAGTGACAAGCCTCGTTGAGTGAAGTAATCTTTGCATGATTTATACAGGATGACTGCCAACGTGCTGGGATGTGCATAAGAATCTTGTCACCAAGCCCAACGCTGACAGTCTCACAACACGTGATTAAATACTGATGATAATATAAGTCGATGGAAGTGAAACTGAACTGACAGCATACGTCTGAGACGTCCCACACGTGCATACAAACACATAAAAATCAGTCTCTAATTGCTTTCCACTGTCCTTAGAAAACAGGTAGTTGGATGTTATCACTCCTATGGAGGTTTACCAGTTTGGGTCGGCCGGGGCTTACGAGTCAGACAGGCATGAATAATATGGTTACTGGCCTTGCAGGCATCAACACTAGCTGCAAAACATAAATTATTAGGTGCACTGACTGGCGTAACAGTGTCGAAGGCATGTTTGGGAACGTCTATCCCGCCACCGGTTATATACACAATGGCTACCTATACAGAAACTTTCACGAAATCATGCCTGATGTGCTTATTTTAAGACTGAACTTGTCGACTAATACTTGTGTGTCTTGTAGAAGGCATGTACTGCTTACATAAAAACTTTGCCACATGGGCGATTTCTCTTGTGACAATCGAATGCGGAGGATATCCCCCAAAACTAACTATTTACTCCACTTAATTGGCGGGTTGGCTTAAATCCCATTTCTGTGACTGGACGGAATATCAAGATGGCAATTTATCCGTGACAAGTAAAGCATTATTCCAAAGAGACTATTTGCGACAAGACAAATTCAGAATTTAATTCAGTTCATTGCTTCGCTCCTGGAAACAGGTGCGATCCTAATGCCGACTCTTTTCTCAGAAATCTAGATAACCTATTTACATACTGAAGTACGTATTAGTTAGAAGGACTTTATATCACTTTAACCAAAGTCAACTGATTGTGCACGCATACTGGACCCCTAATTTCGAATTGCTACTTGAGGACTTGGACTAATCCTGAAAAGGTAGACGAAACCTGACTTGGCTAAACATGATGTGATTTGGAGAATGGTCGCGAGTAAAATCTATTTAGAATCATATGGGCAGTGCTATGTAGGAAAATTCAGGGACAATTCAAACTTTAAGCATTGAGGGAGTGAGACCTCACCAATGGCCTAGAAACTCTTAGTTGTCAAGTTAGTGAAACCTGGTAAATACCATCGTAATAATGGATAGAATATGCTTAAGAGAGTGTTATATTATTAAATGCGATACCCCGTTGGCTTTGGATTAGGTTTGTTCTAAGGACAGGTTTGAGTTAGGTCCATCTAATGAGGGAGACTTTAGGGTTTGTTTAGGTTAGACTAGTGTTAGTCCAGGGATGGTTTCGCCTTAGGGTCAGGTTAAGGAAAGATAAAGGTTAGAAGGTCTAGATGAATGCGTATGTAGAATGTGGTTTAATTCCCCTACCTACACTCCAATGGGAAACTGGGAGGCATTTTTTGTTAAAGTCAGAGAAGGGCGTCTTACATAACAGTTCCATATAATTTTACTCACCTTTTTCGTAGTATTTGCATACTTCAAAACCGTCTTCTCCAAATGATTAGTGTATGCAAGGTCATTAGAGCGTTTTCACTTCTCGGTGCCTAAACTGTAACTTCTCTAAATTCTGTACTCGATAAAAGTTAATGAATTGAGGTGATAAACTAAATCGAAATTCAATAAAGCCACACTTCTTCAGTTGAAATAAAATGTTCTTAACGCCCTTGACAGGGTCGTTTTGAAGGACAACAAGTGGCGGAATGGAGTCCGACACTTCAGAAGGCAAGACTTTGTTTATTAGGTAAGATGCTGAGTATATGTTGCTGTCATCGTGTTATAAGCTTTTTCACATGATTTTAATGAAGCTCAAAAATGATGTATATCGGCAAGAAAATGCTTGAAAACGCATAAAACAGGTTATCTTTCTCTGACATGGCTTAAAAATACGTCCTAGTTATAACGAGGAGTATCAGTTGCTAAGTTAGACTAGTTTCTGTACATGTTTTCACCGAGATGACTACAGATAAACTTTTTGTGAGTCGTTTATCTCTCATCCTGCTTGCAGTCCTCCAAAAAGCCGTAGGGCTCGGTTGAATTATTATGGTTTCCAGCTATAGGATAGACGACTACTTACCAGGAAAACGTGGATAATAAAAAACATTAAAATAAATGACATCAACTATAAATCTATCCCTAATCGTAACCATAAGCTTAATCATGACCCTAACACTAAACCTAACCTTAATCCTAACCCTTATTCAAACCGTAATTATAACCCTAATGCTAATTGTAACCCTAATATTAACCCTAACGAGCTATTAACACATTGTCCAAACAGTAGTTAAAAACGTGATCTGGGTGAAATTTTCTCCTAAGTTGGTGAATATATTCACTATATTCGCTATAGCGTTGATATTTCAGCTATGATAATAACAGGTGCTGTTAGCCAACGACTAGCATGCGTTCAAGGTCATTGGAGCGTTCACACTTCTGATGACGCTATTGTTGAACTTTGCCCTTATAAGCTTTGGCCTTCATATGTACTTAAGTTTTCTCACTTTAATATTAGTTAATTAACTATTGTCATATTACGAAGCAACAAGTGTAACTCAAAAACCGAAGATAATGGAGATGTATGAAGAATTCGTGTACCGCCTGAACTGGTCGTATCCACTGAATAATTCCATGGCAAATATTCATTTTTCGGCTTCACTGTCGGACAAAAATGTGTGGATGGTTATATAATGGTTAAAATGAGCACGACTTCAGGCATATGGTTAGAATGGTAAAACAAGGAGCAAATCCTGATTTAAAGATTATCAGAAGTGGAAAATGGTGCTCAAATACTGGTTAAAATGGATAGTATTGCTTGACTAATCGGCAAATATTGGTTGAATTAGGGTGAAATATTAGTTGAATAATAGGAAAATGTTGTTCCAATAAGCGTAACATTTAGGTTAAGTAATGGTCAGAATGGGAAGATTATGTCATAGCCGAGATTCGTGAATTCCTTATCATTGGCCATGCCCATTAATGGGCAAGTTACTTTTTATCCATTATTCACTCATATTTTACCAGTTTTGTCTGGTCGGATTATATCTTCCTGTTTACATCACACTTATGAATGTGGGATTATAAAAAGTGGGATTTCAAGTATCGAGGCTTGCTTAACCAGGTTACAGTGCTTCTCAATTCCTTCGTTCATGTGGCCCGATATACATTGACAAATTAGACCAAACTTCTATCTTCCAGAAGTTCACATGCAGTGGGTCGTTAAAGGAGTAAACATAATTGTGACTCCTGTCAACCAGATTGTCTCATTGTGTAAAGGAAAGTTGACGGAAACCGCAGCTAACTTTTAATATAATGAGGATACAGTGTCACACTAGATTTCTCACGAGTTAAAGTTCATTTTAACTTGACTGCATGGAAATAAGGATGTAAGTCTGTGTAATTCTTCAATCCTTTAAGTATGTCTTATGAAGATCTCATAGGTATGTATTAGAAGTAAGAAGCTGTTTTTCCTCAAATAGTGAGAATTTGTTCCATAAATTCTACTGTAATACTAGTAATACTGGGGACTACTCTGCACTGAATTCTATAAATTTAAGGTAAATAACTGGATTGAATCAAGCCGTGTAAATGAAAACTCACCTTTAGCTTCTGTATTTATCATAACGACATCCTATGCACCTGACAGGTTATAGATTTTCTCAGTATCCTTTTAACAATTCGGCAGGTATGTGAAGTGACAATAGTTATAGTATTTGCATGCGTAAGTTCTACTGTGGTCCTGAATAATATTTTTCAGAAAAACGGTAGAATGTCTTAAGCAATTTGTAGTAGTAGCATACTTAGATTTGGTGTAAGAAAAACATAACGACTAATTTAAACTGAAATACGAGCATGATACTCCATCAGTGAGCGGTTAGACAATTCCCTAAAATGATTTTTCATTCATTTAGCTCAGTGTTAGGCAATCATCATTTGTGTTGTAACCTAGTAAGGTCTGTCTGTCTGTCTGGATTCAACATAGAACTTGGCACCGAAGTGCAGCAGTTCGAGTTGCCACGTTCCAAATAGCACACAAAGGCAGACAAGAAGATGAGTGAAGAAAATCAATAGAGTTTTGACAAGTATAAGAGTGAAACAGAATGAGTAATGGTAGAAAAGAATATGAAAGATTACAGAGACTGAATACATCTGACAACGATTTTGAGCCATGTCACCTATTGTCTCCAGCCATTGATTCTTAGAGTCCCGGCGGCCCCGACCCGGAAGTTTGCATCTCCCTACCTGACTCAGTTTAACCGTTAAGGATTTCATGGATTGATGCCATGTTTTTGTTTGGCCACCACTTACTCTTTTCCAACCTGCACCTATATCAGCTAGTAATGCCCGTCAGGGGAGGTGATGGTTAGACATGCACAGCACGTAACCTAGCCATCTCAATCTATGTAACTTTATAGCCTCGTCGATTGATTTTCCCTCTTTGCCCAACACTCTACGCCTAACGTCAACATTACTTACCTTATTATACCACCTAACGTAAGAAAGAGATCGTAGACATCTGTGATCAAAAACAGTCAACCTTTTCATGTCTTCAACTCGTATTGGCCATGTTTCAGAGCCATAGAGAAGGACGGAGCGAACTGCTGAGCAGTACACACGTCCCTTGGTTGATAGCCGGATGTCACGCCTACGCCAAAGATGGCGTAAGTTAGCGAAAGCAGCCCGAGCGTTTTGGATCCGTGCTGAGATTTCGTCGCCAATCAGTCCGTTGGTGCTGGACACCACTGGTTGTTATCAATTCAGATGACAATTACCCATAAGCCCTTACACGGCTACGCGAGTTTGAGTAGAGTGCCTTGATTAGTGCAATGCACTTTCTAACCTAGTAAGGAATATATAACCTCATGGCATGGTTTCCCCAAAACTGGCTCGTTGTAGCTGTATAATAAGGGATTTTCTACTCTTCTGGATGTTAGTCTAAGCCACGTAGGAAGATGTAGACTTCCTGGTTGGGGTCCTCGGGATGGTAAAAACCAATGGTTGGAAACAATTGGTGACATGGCTCAAAATCGTTCTCAGTGGCGCAGATGCATCCACTCCTTGTGACTTATGATTTCCAATGAAACTGTTTTGTTCTTCGCTATTACTATTCCTTTGTCTCACACCTCTGTTTACTGTCTCTAATATGCATTTCTCCTACTCTCTTCTCTTTCTTTGTGTGCTACATGGAGTGTGGCGACTTGAACTGCCGCACATATGTGCAAAGTTCTATGTCGAAAACCGACCGACCGACCGATCTGGATGAGCACTATTTTTTCATCATTATCGATGATGAGCCACGAACACGCCTATTCTGTCTTACCTTTTGAAAGGATATCCCTGTCCATGTAAAGGTAATATATAGGGTGTACCTGGTAAAGTTTATGATCGCGTAGTCATGTGGAAACGTTTTGAGCGGAAGATCAGTCATGCAAGGTCGTTTATGGGGAATATAATAGTACGGTTTAAACTTAATAGTTGTTCCCCATCCATATTTGTTAAACCATAGAAAACATGTTAAATACTTGTTAAATGTAAATGGTAGTGCATAAATGTGTTATATGGGCATGCAAACTAATGAGAATTATGAACTTTATTACTTCTATAGTTTATTGAAAGTTTTTTGTTCCACATCCTGCAAACGGTATGAATTAATTTCAGTTAGATGGAGTAGGAGCTTTAAGCGTGTTTATAGACTGTCTGCTGTATGAATCTACAACGGTTATTTCAGCATCCATATGAATAAGGCTGTCTTATTTCTGTATATATATATATATAATAATATATATATTTAACCGCGTGAGTGTCTTACGATGTCCTACCAGTAGGTCTAATCTCATTGATGAAATAAAACTTTTATGTGAAGTGTGTTTGTAGATTAAAAAAGTCAGTTTATTATAAAGTTCAATAAAAGTTTCTACTAAGAAATGCAACTTAATTGCCTTGAATTTAATGTCAATTTATGAATATTATTCTGAACTATGATTCATCTCCCACGACTTAACTGCTTCATTTCTTATTTCAAGTTACTATTACTATGATCGGTGGATCACCAATTTAAATGCTTGTCATTGACGTTATCAATGTGATTCTACCTTAAGTAGTATACTGTATTCTGCTTCGCGTAGTTCAACCAGAGCAACTGGGGAGCACCGCCAACTGCCACATAAACGTGGCCCATAACTGGGCACCTGAGTAACCTTACCCGGGAAATAGTGTCCAGAGCATATTATATTTATTTCCTGAGGCTATGTCACTAAAAATTCTGAAGACAAGTGTATAGTGTATATTACTGTTTAACGTCGTCACACTTATTCACGTATTTCAAGGGTTTAATTTTCAGATCACTGGCATATCATTGAGTTAAAAGTGTTTGCTGATGAATTGTTTGTGAAAATATATTTATTTATTTAATTAAACAGCTACAGTTTTTAAGCCTTATACTTAGTGTTCAATTTCAATAAGGTTCCTTTCTGAAATGTAATTGCTTAGTGCACTTCTATAGCTTACTTTTCCAACAGGAAAATTAAAGGGACTTATCATTATGTATTTATAATAAACTGCAGTATGTGGAAAAGAAGCAGAATAATTGAGAAATGGTACATGAAAATAGGTGAGCATACTTGTCAAAACCATTTAAGCGAATCTATACTACTTTGTATTACTTTCAGAGAAACTAAAGAGGAAGTTGCAGCATCGCCACTGATTATGATTCTCGGCGAAATCTGATAATGTCTCAAGTTACTGATCTAGATTATCTGTTGGACCCTACCTAGGGAGGTGTAACGTACATGCAGATGCTAGCCTAACAGAAGTACCCTCCATCATCCCACTACTTCATGTAATGGACTGATCACCTCGACCTTTTGACCCAGTCCAAGGGTTAATTAACTGTGGGTATTTCAGGAGCCTCTGAGATAACATTAGTGGCACTTATGAAAACCACTGAGATCGGTGTCCCAAGATAAAATTTATTGAAAGACAATCTCCATCATGTTGATGCACACCCCATCGGATCCATCATGACATACATGGCGATGCCACCATATGCAACCAGTTTCACAGACTCAATGAAGATGTAACACAGAATTGTGACACATCCTCAGCTCAAAGAGGGTGGGTTTCATGGGCTTCAAGCAAAACTTCACTCACCAAAGCACTGTAAACCTGACTTTTGGCGACTAGGCTGAAACTGTTCAGGTTGCCATGTGCTACCCTGGCTTCCACTGTATGTTCAGAAATTTCATCCTTCACACTTCCATCACTGACCACACAACTACGTAGATACACGCAGTTATTGACTACTTCTAACAGTCTACCTGCAAGGGTGATTATACATTTGATGGTTGATGAATGATGCATTAAGCAACATGGTGGACAGATGTGTATACATACTCATACATATATTGCATTCTGTTGAGTTATGTCACTTTATTACTGTCTTCTGGTGGTGGAAATTTACCATCTCAACAGCTAAAATAGAAATCTTTAGTAAGAGAATATATAAGCATTCACTTGCCTATTAAATGTTGCATATAACGGTATAACCGATGTTCAACGTACTGTTTACGTGACTATCATAAATTAGTATTCCTGGTTACTAGTTGATACTGAATATACACACACCAAACTATGTTTCCACTCAAGATATTTGGGATTTCATTCAAAATACTGTAACAATATAATGACAGAAAGCAACCACAGAATTTAGACGAATCCTGTTCTCACCGATTCTTAAGTCATCAGATCAGGAGAAGAAATAGAATAAAGTAATGCAGATTTATGACTCAGGATAAGGATAGCTGTTTGTTGTTCTTATCATTGATTTAGGAAGGTAACCTGTTGAAAGGGAAACTATGTTAGCTTTGAATGTATAAATTTTTTTGGAATGCATGTAATAAACCTTAGGAGACTTTTCTTTCTCGTGAAATATCTGATTCGTGTAGGTGACAACGAGAAAGTCAGCTATCTCTTTGCTTAGTAATTGTTTTATCACGGATATATTACTATCTGTTAACTTTCAAAATTGGATCTTTGTATCGTAAGCTGCAAGATTTAGTTGGTCGACTGCATGTCGGGTCGCCAAACTCCATGTAGCACACGAAGACAGAGAAAAAGAGATTAAAAAGAACAATGGTAAGCAGAAATGTGAAGGAGAAAGAGTAGTAACATTGAGAAACATTAGGGTTTAATGGACATCGGAGATCACAAAGAGTGAATGCTCCTGTGACATCGAGAAAGATTGTTAGCCTTATCACTAATAGTCTGCAGCCATTGGATCTTAGCATTCTGAGATCCCCAACCTCCCTATGTGGATGGCTCAAGTCAACTGTCAAAGACTTCATGGATTGATGTCATGTTTTGATTTGACAACCCTTCTATGTAAGCTGACATTGCTCATTGAGGAAGGTGGCGGCTCGGGACACAACACGTGTCGTAGCCATCTCAACCGATGTAGCTTCACAACTTCATTGATTGACTTCCATTCCTTACCTAACGCTGTACACCTAACCTCAGTATTACTCCCCATATTATATTACTCGACACCTCAATAATGCTTAGCGAATTATAACATTTAACACGGGACATAAAATGCAAACACCTAAGGTCATAGATAGCTAATCTTATCGTATCTTCCACTTTCAATGGCCATGTCTTACGGCCATATAGGAGGAAAAACCGAACTGTTGCGTAGTACACATTTCCTTTTGATCGATATCTTGATCTCATGTGTGCACCATAGATGATGTAATTCGGCAGATGCTTCACGAGCCTTTTGTATCTGTGCTAATATTTCGTCAGTAGTCAGTCCATTAGGACTAGTGTGACTTCTCAAATAATTTGAAGTGGTCAACACGCTCTACCACTTCACTCCAAATTTTTAAACTTGTAGTCGGACCAGTACTGTCCCACAGCATCATGTTACATTTGACATTAGGAGCGGATCGCATGTCAAACACCAAGATTTCTGCTCAAGGCGTTCGGGAGACTGCATTTCGTCAGGGTCTTTACCTAGGAGGACTATATGGGCACAAAACTTCTATAGCTCTCTTAATCTGTGACAGATCTTATAACTGCTCCCAGAAACCTTTTATATGATATTGTAATCAGACACCTTGGTGACTGTTCATGAGCAGATTGGAGCGAGTAAGTGTGGGTGGAAACACTTAGTTTCATATTTTCGGATAAATAGACAGTACAAATTACTGACTGTTTCCATTTTACTAATCATATGGTTACTTGTTTTATTTATTTTCTCATTAATTCTCAGAAATTTATCCTTTGATGTTGGAGAAGATGTATTATTTGACTTTTTCACGAAATTTGGTCATCTAGAGTTTGCCAAAATTGTTAAAGATCCAGCTACACAACATTCTCGTGGTTCAGCTTTTGTGAAATTTTTAAATGCAGAAGATGCATCAAGTGTTTTACAACAGTCTGCTAGACCAGAGGTTAGTTGTAAGAACTTATGATGGTGATAAGATAGCAGAATGACTCTGCAGTTTATTGTCTTTGTGATGAAAGTTTCTTAACTAATCATTTTTCTATTATTTTTTTTTCTTGTTATAAATGTCTGGTTTTCATTTAGTGTGCTCATCAGTTTGTTCTGGATAATCGAACGTTAAATATCTCCATTGCTGTTTCTAGAACTGAGGCAGAAAATTTGCGTAAAAGAAAGTCAACTAATGATAATGAGCTAGATTCATCAGAGGACACTAAAACTTCTGTTAGCGCTTTAAAACACAAAGGACGCAATCTTCACTTAGCATCTATTGGAAGTAAGCTGATCGTACATACTTTTAAACAATATACTTATAAAAATGTTACCATAAATTCACCTTTGATTTGTGTCAGTAATCAGAAAGCATGGGAAATTGTATATATTTGTTAATGTAGTCGCGTTCTTGTCGCCCTTTTTTCACTCCTTGGCATTGTGAACAGAACACAGGGCTTTAAGCTTTGAGTTTTCAGCAGCGCTTGTATTTGTATTTTTACGGCGTGGAATAGCTAGCCTCATTTCTAACTTCCCGCTTTTCTGGGCAAGGTTTAGGAGTGCATCGGCCGGACTACTTGTAGCGTGGCCGACGAAAATTCTCTCCATGAGCCATACACGCAACATTTTGTCCTCGATGGGGATTACTATTGTGTCTAACCGAATAATAACAATCATAGTCAACTCCAATGTTAAGTCAGTGCTACTATACGGATCAGAGACTTGCACTGCGCGTCATAAAGAGCATCTCAAACAAACTACAGACCTTCATTAACAGTTGTCTTCGCTCAATACTCAAGATCAGATGGCCAGAAAAGATCAGCAATAAAGATCTCTGGGAGAGAACCAACCAGGAACCAATTGTGAAACAAATTGGCAGGAAGAAATGCAGATGGATTGGCCATACTCTGAGAAAACCATCAAGTGACATCACTAGACAAGCCCTCGAGTGGAACCCGAAAGGGAAGCGGCGATTTGGTCGTCCAAGGATGACTTGGAGGAGGTCATGTGAAGAGGAGATGAAAACGTGTGGACAGACATGGAGCCAGGTGAAGACTCTAGCAGAGAACCGAACTCAATGGAGACGCACGGCTGAAGCCCTATGTTCCTCTAGGAATTAAAGGATACAATAACATAATATAATAATATTTCAAACAGTAATAATTATGCAGAATGGAATTTTCAGCGTTTTTATACATATTGCACCAATTTAGCTCATTTTATAAACATATACATACATAAAATTTAAACTAGTAGTAATAATATTAATCATGATGGCCACTCCCTCGGTGTGCTCGTGGTTGTCCTCTGGGTGACCGGAATAGATTACTGTCTCTCCAGTTGATGGTTGGCACCTTCCACATCCGTTCCATCTGCTCTCGCAGATTCCCAACACTTCTATTCCATATCTTCTCATTTCTCCGGCTACCTGGGCAGCCTTTCCAGCTTCGTACATTGTATGAACATTCCACGTCCCCTCCTTATATTTGCTTTCATTGAAAGGAGGCACATCGGCTGACTGGCTTCCCGAAGGCTTTCACCAGCCTGCGTCATTTCATTATCCCGATTCCAGCGAAAAATAAGGTTTATATTTTTAGTACTTTTAATATATTTATGATTTGAAGTTTCTGTAGCAATTTGGTTAAGTTTTGGGGGCGGAGTTGCTAGCCTCACGCCCCAACCCTCCCTCTTTATCTGGGCTTGGGACCCGCTAAAAAACTAGCAAGCTAGTAATCTAGGCGAGGTCTTCGCTCTATACTGAAGATCAGATGGCCGGAAAGAATCACCAACAAGAAACTATGGGAACAAAAAAAACAAGAACCAATCGCCCAACAATTATGCAGGAGAAAGTGGAGATGGATTGGACACTCGCTGAGGAGGAGGCCGCTGGGTGACATCGCGCGTCAGGCCAACGCTCGAGTGGAACCCGAAAGGGAAGTGGCGAGTGGGACGTGCAAGGGTGACATGGAGGAGATCGTGTGAAGAAGAGTTGAAACAGTATGAAATAACATGGATGCAGGTGAAAAGTACAGCAGAAGACAGAAGCAAGTGGAGGCGTGCAGTTGAAGCCCTATGTTCCACTAGGAACCCAAGGGAACAATAATAATATAATAATATTAATAATGAAACCGCTGTAAGCAGAATGTTGGTGGGAACATAGTGAAGTATCGGTAGTTGGTATCATAGATAATACATGTAATAATAATCTTTGCTTATACTTTGCAATTCAGATTACTGATTTAACAAGTTTATAAGTTCTTTTCTGTCATTTGACTCTTCACGCAGAAATCGTGCTAAATATGTTTGTTATGGTAGAATTTTTATGTTTAGTTGTACGGGCGCAAATTCTTATCAAGTTTCTTCTGGTTTCATCCGAAGATATACAAGGAAAAGGTTGAGAATAATCAGAGAGGATGTTCGGTATCAGACAAGATAACTTCAGCCAAATGACTACTTGCAAAAATTCAAATGCCTATTAGCAACAACAGTGTCAGTTAGTTGAGTCGAAGGCACACCAGTAGCCCTACTTACAGCCTTCAGTGTTCTATGTAATATGACAGTCCAAGGAAGAATAATGGTGAACAATAAAGGAGAAAGGGCAGAATACATGAATTAACACATTGTAAGAGAATAGGTTGAGTTATGCCAACACAAAGTTTCAACTTCTTTATGTTAATAAGTCAAACGAAATATTTTCTTAGAAATCAACAGGATATGAGACGATCAACAGAGATTCGAAGAGGAACTGATGCCGAGACAGGAGATATATTCAATTTACTCCCTATCATATTGTTGTCATTATTACAGGAATCATGTGACTAAATCAGTCCATGCAAGTCTTGTTCGCACCTGAATTTAAAATCAGCAATACGACATTCAGTTTAAAGCCATTTCGGTGAGACCATTTTTTAACTTCAGACAAGAATCCATTCATATAAGAACAATCCCAAGCAGAAATTACCGGGACAGAAATGATTAGATCATTGGCATATTTAATAGAATTAGCTTACGAAGAATACGGAAGGTCATGCAAAAAGAAAAAGAAAGGAATGGAGAGAGTACAACACCTTGAGACACACCAGTTTCCATTAGCAACGAAGTAGACCGCTTTCCATTCAAAACGGTATGCTTTCTTTCTACTCGAAAAATAAGAAGGCAGCCACCTTGTGACCCAGGACTCAGTGCGTACTGAAATCAGCTTGCTTAGTAAAAGTGCCCTAGGAATAGAATCAAAAGCACCAGTGTATTCTAAAAAGGAGGCTCGAAAAAACTTTGAGCCTTTATCAAGACTTGAAACAGTACTGTGGTGGAGTGTGACGACAGCATCTAATGTGCTTCTACTGCATTTGTAAGCAAACTGCTCAGTATCATGTAACATATATTCTAGTGCTTGAATATTGTCAAATGAATAGGATCATTCTTGGTGAACAAAAGCCCTTCTATGTAACTTGCCATACACTTTCGGTAGAATTTGAGTAATGCAATGGTCAGAATTCAGCAGTGGAGCTCTCCTTCGCACGTCGCACATGTCACAATCGTTTATGAAAACCAAGTCTAGGGTTTTGTCCAGACGAGTATCGAAATTAACTAGGTTCTCTTGACCAAGTAATATAAGAAAACTGTGATCACAAGAAATAGGGTCCGCACAGACTATTGATAAGGGATACCCAAAAATAGGAGCAGCAGATTCAGTAAAAAAAGTGTCTACCCCTCCGCCATGCTTTTTCTTTGAATTGTGTCTGTCCTGACGGAAAACTTTATATCCATTTAATGAGATTAGATTATCGTCGTATTGCTGGTGGAGTCAAGTCTCTTGTATAGCTAAAACACCAGCATTTCGATACACACTTGAGGATATTAGAGATTGCCTCCAAAGCCTCAGGATGGTCGGGGGTGGGTGCCTCGCACTGCGGGTTGGCCACCCCTCCGCACACCTCTTGAAATGCTCCCATATGACTGGGCGTCTTACATAGCCTCTCCTGAGGAAGCCCTAATCACTACCTTCACGTGGCGGAGATGTTTTTCACCAAAGTGAGAGGGCGAAAGCGGATGCCCGGCGCTCTTCACCGGGTTGACTGTCCATTGGATGGCAGTCTAGGGGACATGGCTAAACCCTGGTTCCAAACCTCCAACGACTGGCGTATGAAGCTCACTGGAGCTCACCGGCAGACGTATGGACAAAGGGCTTGTTGGATGTCCTGGATGTCTGGCCTCATTCAAAAAGGCGTATGAACCGAACTCCAGTCACCGGCTGCTAATGGATTGTGGACTCCCTACTCCACTCCTACTGCCTTGTAGGTCACACTTGGTTGTGTAAAGGCTAGAGCTGCACTCTCAAACAAAAGGCCGAGCGATTCTGGGGACATCACTCGTACCAAATTCCCATGAAACTTCATGAACTCTCTTAGATGTTCATGAAGCTGGCTCATCCTCCCGTAGGAGATAGCCGAAGTAAAGTAAAGGTAGTAATATTAGAGATTGGCGATAGTCCACTTTGTTAGACAGAGACGTGTAGTTAGTACTAACAACTTCGAGGACAGTCATATGATTAATTTCTGTAAGTTTTAATGTACACTGTCAACCATAGTGATGTTTTTCCCTCAATTTTTGAGGATGACTCAACGCGGTAAGTTGGAAAGATTTTAAAAATACGCGATTAAAAGTAATACGATTTACAGACATTGATTAAAACAGAACAATAGGAAACAAAATATAAGCTGATGGAAAATGGTATTTTATGGCAGCCGAAAATTTAAGCAGGTCTTCGTTAGTGTTTAAAAGTGAGTTTCCATTTCCAGTGTAATATAAACAAATCTGTCTATTGAGTTTGAAGTGGAGCAGGACAACTCATCTTTTAAATCTGATATTTATCATCATCCATTGTAATTTTCTAGTTTATACTCAAGGATAGTGGATCCTTTCACTTAAGGTTAAATATACGTGAATAAATTTCACTTAACATGTTCTCTTAAGCTTACTTATGTATAGAGATATTATCGGCTCTTCTATGTTAATACAACAAGAATAATCAAACCAAACAATCCCTTTTAGAAATGACTTTGTCTCTTTCCAATTCATAGACTTCATAGTCAGTAATATTGTTAGATGAAATGTGTGACAAGTAACAGGACTATTACTGAAATTTATTCGGAACATCAACATTCCGATTTGTGGCTGTCAGTTATATTGTATGTTTTTTTTTTTTGTTTAAAAATAGACTTAACCTTTTCTGAGAGCGACACGGTGTAGGTAGAAAGAAAAGAGACATGGTATTATACACTATTGATTAGTTCACATGAGTAGTTGCATACCACCCAAAGTAACTAATAGTACTGCTTGCTAGCCAGTCACCTAGATCAAAGCTATCTAAATACATGTGAATGGCTATTTCGTTGGTTTGATTCCTGGCTTATTAACGATGCACCTGGTTTAGCTGAGCGCAGATAATTGAATCAGTCCTAATCACCCGGATTCCGGCTAGTTAGACAGCTAGCTGGAAGAACTGGTAATACATTTGGTGTTACAAACCTACAATTTACAATTTATACATTTTAAAGTGGAATTTCACCACAGTTTCTTTCAGAAACCGAAATTATTCAGATCACGATATGTGCGAATTCGATAGATAAGAAGAAAACAGACAAATATGCTTCTCAGGAATTTCCCCTTCCCACTTATTTTCTCTCCTGTAAAAATCACCTAATTTCTTTTCTCTCTTTTCATTTTTGCTTCCTTAAAAAACAACTATAGTCATTCGTCCAGGAACAATTGAAGCTAAAGATTTAAGCAAAGAAGACTTGGCTAAACGAGATGAGCTGTTACGTGAAAAAAAGAAAAAGTTAACTGATCCAAACTATTTCATCAGTGATATCCGACTGTGTATACGTAATCTACCATTGAATATTGCTGATAATGATTTGAAAGCAACCTGCTATAAATATGTAAAAGAGAAAACTTGTCGAATTTCCGAGGTTAGTGGAATATTTCAGCATTCTCTACCCACCCCCTCATTCTCCTCCATCTTTTTTCTCTCTTGACTTTATGTTTTAATCGCTTCTTTGTTTTTGCCAGCGCGGCATTTAATTTCATTATGTTTCGTTTCGTCGTTTTGCATATATATATACGATTTCAAATTTCATGGTATTTAAATGCAGGTGAACAGTTTACTTGTGGTTGCCGACATATTCAGGCAGTATTTCCTGTCTACTCTAAAAGTGGTAATAGGAAATTAAAATAACTGATAATCAGTAGTGTCATTCGAATCACTAGATTGGTAGAGAAAATTATCCCAGCGAATTTCTGTCTTTAGTTTCGTTAGCTGATAGAAAAGGTCAGTGGAATATGACTAATTCTAAGCAGTCATGAGGTGGAACAATTAACTTAGCGGTTAAAGGAATTCAAGCTTGGGATCTGAAGATTCAGTAGTACTGGCAGTGTTGGTGGTGTTCGTGCCCAACTTTCCCTCTTTATCGGACTTACTACCGGCTAAATGAAGTTTAGGAGTAGGTTGGCTGGGAATTGAACCGCGGACAGCTTACGGCGTGATTGGTGGGCATTGTACCACTGAACCATCGACGCACGAATGTTTCTTATGGTGAATCTTTCTTCACCCTCTCCCCTGAATGTTTGTTAAGGCTCATTTTATATTTTAATAATTCTTTATTAACTTTAATAATACATATTTTTATTAATTTTTTCTTTAGTGTCGTGTTATGCGTAATCTCCAGCCAGGAAGACAACAATATCGTTCACTTGGTTATGCATTTGTCACTTTTGATAATCATGAAAATGCTTTACGCGTATTAAATGGCCTGAACAATAATCCAAATGCATTCCCATCAAGTAATCGTGTAAGTTAATATATTCCTTTTTTATGTTGGCAGATAGTCCTCTGTGGACTAGTAAATACCATCGGTTATTCCAGTTTTTAAGAAAAGGAGACAAGTTTTCCTGTGATAATTAATTACAAGGAGGATCAACATGACTCACATGGTATCTAGAAATTTTCGATCCCATGATCTTTTGTGGACTAAAGAGCACTTACAAGAAACAAACTCGTGAAAACTAGACAGATTTTAGTTCCTTCTACAGAATCTGTAGCATAGACATACCTACTGGCGTCCATCATCCCGTACTAGCTAATGCCTGCACACTCAACGTTCATAAAAAAGTCACATGCTATCATTATGGATGTTGGTGACTGGCAATACAATCTGGGATTAGCATTTCGTCCCACTGTGAACTCCTCATCTGGATGTATCTCTACCCTCAAATAGGACGAAATGCACATCTTGGATTACATTGTTAGTCACTGTCAATCAAAACAGCATCACATTAATCTTCAGACATCGTGGAAGTGGCCCTACTAGGAGCATTGCGGTCCAACAATGAAATCAGTCAATAGGAAATGCAAATTAACATGAACATTCATGTATGCTCAGTTGATTCATTGTATATTCCCCTGAAGATTATTTCCGACATTTATTTTTCAAATATATCACCTTTTATAGGTTCATTTCTAAAATTAACTGGAAATGTATAAATTAACAAGTTTTAATTGATTTTAAGACAATCTGGGATGGACTAACTGACTGGCTGATTGATTGATTATCAGCACAGAACACTATTATGCACAGAAGTACTGTACTTCAAGTTGCCATATTCCATATACCATACAAAGACATTAAAAAAGAGATTAGAAGGAACAATAGTAAGCAGAGACGTGAAGGAGAAAGAGTAGTAACGTGGAAAAACATCGAGAACTAATTTCAGCCCTATCACCAATAGTCTCCAGCCATTGGTTCTTAGCATTCTGAGATACCCAACCAGACAGGTGACACCTCCCTACGAGAGTGGCTCAAGTCAACAGTCAAAGACTTCATGGATCGATGTCATGTTTTGGTTTGACCACTCCTAACTCTCTCCCAACCTGATCTTATGTCAGCTTATATTGGTCATTGAGAAAGGCGGTGGCTCGGGATGCTCAACACATTTCCTAGCTGTCTTAATCGATCTGGCTTCATAATGTCATCGACCGACTTACTGTCCTTATCTAAGACTCTATGCCTAACCTTAGTATTACTCACCATATTAAACCGCTTAACACGGGAGACAGAACTCAAACATCTTTGATTGAAGACAACTAGACTCTTCGTATCTTCCACTTTCAATGACCATATCTCATGGCCATAACTAAGGTCTGAGTGAACTGCTGCTGTGCAGTACACACTTTCTTTGGCCGACAGTCGAATACTACATTTACGGGAGAGATAACGTGTGTTGGCAAATGCCACATTGGCCTTTCTATATCCTTGCTAAGATTTCGTCAGCAATCATTTTTCCACTAGGGCTGGTACAAATCTGGGATCGACAAACTTTTATTGATGTGTAGCTGGTAATGACTGCTTCTGATGATTGTCGTCGACAGGAGAAGACGACTTAGCCTGGGTAGGACAGTCATGTGTCATACATTCACGTAATACAGCTAAGCACTCATCAGTAAAATAATGATCTGGTTAGCAGTTGAATGTTGTAGACTCAGCTGTAGTAGCACTGCTCTTAGTAGGACTAGTGATTCTGTGGCCACTAGTTGTAATCCTGACGAGATCCAAATTTTCATTTCACCTTTTCAGTCATTATGTTATTATTATTATTTATTATTTAAACGCAGAAAAAACTTGGTACAATATGGCACCAAGAAAGATGCGCCACACAATAATAATAAAACAACATAGATTAAAAGTAAAAATATAAGTAGAAAACGGATAAAGAACTTCATCTGGAAGGAAAACAGTCATGTTTAACAAGTTCAGACAGTATTCGTTAACTATCATCAGGAAGGGAAGAAAGAAGGAAATTGCAACACGTTCGCCATTGATTACGATTCTTGGCCATATCCGATAACGTTTCGAGCCATCGATTCGAGCTATCTCGCGGACCCCAACCAGGGAGTCGTGACACACCAACCGATGCTAATCTAGCACAAATATCCTTCATCCCACGACGCCACGTCATGGACTGACCACCCCTCCGCCTTTTCCATCCTGTCCCAGGGCTAGCGAACAGAGACCTGTACGGAAGCCTCTGGGATGACATTCGCAGCACATGTCCAAGCCACCGGAGCTGGTGTTTCCAGATGACGACACTCAATGAATGGTGATCTCCACTGTGTTCAAACACACGCCGCCGAACCTCAGAATTACTCACGCGATGATGCCATCGAACGCAAGCAATCCTGCGGAGACAGCGATGATCGAACACGCAGAGTCGCCTCACATCCTCAGCTTGGAGAGGCCAGGTTTCACAGGCGTAGAGCAAGACAACCCGCACCGAAGCATTGTATACCCGACCTTTGACAGCCAGGCTAACGTCGCGACGGCGCCAGAGGTGGCTCAAGTTGATGTATGCCACCCTAGCCTTCATTATACGGTTGGAAATCTCATCCGTCACCCCTCCGCTAGCACTCACACAACTACCCAGATACACAAACTTATCAACAACTTCAAGCGGTTCACCCGCAAGAGTGAGTGCAGGTACAGGCTCCTGCCAATCTTGTAACAGTACTTTGCACTTAGACGGTGCAAAGCATATACCATACTTACAGACACTGATCGCCAACTGATTAAGTGCGATTTGGGCAGCCTGCATGCTATCGCACAGTAAGACGATATCGTCTGCATACTCGAGGTCGAAAAGTCTATCTCCAGATAGCAGATCTACACCACCTTCACGCACATCCTTCAGAGCTGACTCCAGAATGTCATCGATGGCAAAGTTAAAGAGAAATGGAGAGATTGGGCAACCCTGTCTAATCCCACTGTTGGTTGGGAACAGTGATGATAGTTGGTTGTATGCCCTCACTCTACCTGAGGTGTTTCTGTATAGGGCTTTCAAGATGTTAACAAATTTCTCAGGTACACCTCTCTCTAACAGACAGTTCCAGAGCACAGTTCTGTCCAACGAATCGAAGGCAGCCCTAATATCAAGAAACACAACGATCGTTGGCCTGCAATACGTGTGGCGGTGTTCCAACAACTGACGAAGGGTGAACACATGATCAATGCATCCACGACCTGAACGAAACCCAGCCTGCTCTTCGCGAATCAATCCTTCACGTATTTTGCACAGCCTGCGAAGCAAGACAGCAGCCAATATTTTAGACGCGACTGGTAGCAGACTGATACCCCTATGATTGTCACACGAATTACGTCGACCCTTTTTAAAGATGGGGACAATAATGGCTTCGTTCCACATTGATGGTACACTCTCAGTTTCCCATACCTTCCTGAACAACCCAGTTAGAGCCATTGTGAGAGTCTCGCCACCATCTTTAAAAAGAGCCGGGGGTAAATTGTCTGGGCCGGGCGCCTTATGGCGTTTTAACACTTGGAGTTCCTTACGGACCTCCGCTTCGGTGGGTAGGTCGGTATTAACCGACCAAGGAGCACTGGGGCTAATGACAGCAGACATTGAAGCTGGTGGCCAGCTAAACTGTTTCCCGAAGTGCTCTGCCCAGCGTTCCAGGCGTCTTTTCAAGGTGGTAATTGGCGTGCCATCTGCCTCACAGACCGTCTCGCTGACACCTTGTTTCTTGCTGCCGGTGGCTCGGATGAGTTGGAACAGCTTCCGACTGTTGCCAGATGCAGCAGCTGACTCCATCTCACCCGCACGTTCTGACCACCAGGCTTCGCAGTCCTTACGTAAACACTGTCTTATCTTGCGCGTCAGCGCCTTTCGCTTATTGCTGTATTCGCTGCCAGCCGGAATGGACCGGCGTTCATCCAGGAGTTGCAAGGAACTCGCAGAAACCCAGTGGTTTTTGGCGGAGCATTCTTTCAAGCCGCAAGCGGCTACACTCGCCCTTTGCATGGCACCTTGCAGATGAAGCCAATGTTCATCTATACTACTTGGGGGGTTGCTGGCAAGCATTGACTGTAACTCATTCTGATATTTCAAAGAAGTAGCAGGTGCTACTAGTTTGCTCACATCAACGTTTAGACGACGCCTTTTATGAACCCCACCAAATCGCAAGACGAACTTGGCACACACTAACACATGATCGGAGTCCAGGCATGTGCTCCAGAAGGAGCGACAGTCTTGTATGCATCCTCGCCACCGGAAACTGACAGCAATGTGATCGATCTGAGTCCAAGCTTGGTTCGCAGAGGGAGGACGCCAGGTAGCGCTACGGCGATGGTTGTGCCGGAAGTTGGTGCTGGCCAGAAATAGGTTGTGATCCGCGCAAAGCTGCAGAAGACGGTCCCCATTATCTGACCTGCGACCATGTAGTCCCCATTGACCACCTAGACGATTCTCCTCTGAGCTCAGACGCCCGACCTGTGCATTCAAGTCCCCAGCCAGCACTACGATATCCCTCCGACCCGCCTGTCTCAAGAGATCGCTAAGTTGGTGGTAGAACTCGTCCTTCATTGCATCCGGGCTGCAATCCGTTGGTGCATAGGCAGAGACAACAAATAGACACCGCCTATCTGGCCTACTACTCCTTACTTTCGTATAACCTTCCAGCCTCACAGCACATAAACGACTGTTAATGGGAATCCAGTCGAGCAATGCAGCTTCGGCTCTAGCGCTCAGTGCGACACCGACACCAGCTACGCCGGATGCCGACGCCACAGGGTCCCCGGACAAGCGCAGGTGGTACATACTACTAGAACTTCCAGATGGAGAGGATAATCGAAGCACTTCACTGGGATCTTGAATGTGGGTCTGCGAAATGCAGCAGACATCGATAGCGAGGCTTTCCAATGTTCTTACCAACCCTGCCTGTTGTCCGATTTGCATCAGCGTCCGAACATTGTAGGTGGCCAGCTTGAACGCGGCACGCGGTTTCAGGATATCTGTGTTAGATGTCACATTGGGGACAACCATTTTGAGGGTTACTCACTAACATCTCGAAACGACACAGATAGGCTAGGAATCCAGACAAAGGCGAAAGGCTGTCGAAGGTTAAGAAGTCAAGGTGAGCAAAGGTAAAATACAGGAATCTAAGTATAAAAATAAAAGTAAGGTTGGAAGGACATAAGTTGCTTGAGGTATCATTATTTCTTGAAATCATTTTTACGAGCGCGCGGTGAGTTTCAATAATAGTTTGTTGTTTTATTTCATTTGTTGTGTGAGGGCTGAGATACTGCCCGGGCGCCCAGACCGAAGCAGGTGGTTTTCTTAAGGGACCACTCCCCGAGCCTTTGACTTGGAGTCTAATCCGCAAGGCAGCGGAGCTGCGTTCCCATGGTTGCCGGGTTCATACGCCATTTGATCCGATTGGATTCTGGAGCCCATGTACCCCATGGTAACTGCTTTTAGTCTAACCGCTATCCAAACAACCTTCCTGACATGGTAGGACCTGCAGGGACATGAGTCCCAGCCAGTTTAGCTTGTTGGGTCACTGCGGTATTCAAGCCCGACCACCACGGCAAGGTAGCAGTTGTCGGCCGGGGACTCAGTCATTATGCATAACAGGGAGTTATCTCAAATAGTCTGTTATAACTGAACTGAACTGATACTTGCTACTTTGTTATATCCGCATCTGTTAATTACTATAACGGTAATGAACTCGACTGGTAAGCTAATACACCTATTTGTCCGTTGTGCCTTCCGATTCACTGAGCCACGCAAATACAAAAAGACAAAGGCTGGTCTGTGACTGTAAGATATTGTGTTGTACATTTATTAGGAAACAATACATTATGTTTATACATTTTCTTTACCATGATAAAGCCGGCCTTGAGAATGGATTATTCTTATTGGCTGGGAATATCTATCCTGTTTCGTTGAAGATCCGACAAAGATCCAGGTGAGACAAAAGGAGATGAATTGATCACACACTAAGTCACAATATGCGTGAGAAATGATAGATGAACATAGTAACTCCGTCACAAGATAAATCACACGATTCGTGAGAAAGAATGATGTACTTTTTTATGCTGGGTTCTATCATAGTCCAACTGTTAAATTGGTATATGATAACCATAATGCATATAATACAATTTCAGCACTTTCTTTTAGTAATTCTTTGTAAGTTACACAGTTAAACATGCTCAGGAAGATAAAATGCATCCAGTCACCCCCTAAGGTAGTTAGAGGTAAATCAATGACATCCTTAGTAGTCATTGCTTTCTCAAACGAGAAGAAAACTAAACACCAATCTAAGTACTATTTCTTGTTTTTTTTTAATCTATGCTTGTCAATTTTTTTTGAAATTTTTCTCTCAGAGACCAATTGTTGAATTTTCAGTAGAGAATATGAGAGCATTACAATTGAAAGAGAAAAGAGCTCAAAAAAGTTCTGTAAGTTGAAACGAAGAAAGCATTCCATGTATTTATTTTTAGTAGTATTAGCATTACTGTTATTATCCCCTTCTGTTCCGAGTGGAACGTAGGGATTCAGCAGCATATATCTGTTTCACTCTGTCCTCTGCGGTTCTTTTTAAACTTACTGCACATAGACTGCCATTTCTTCGCCACACAATCTCCTCCAACTGCCATCCTCAAAGTGATGCCTAACTGGTCGTTCCCCATTTGGGTTCCACTCGACAGTCTGCCTGATGGTGCGTGGTGTCAGTCAACGGTGTCCTCGGCATGTGTTCAATCTTATCCATCTCCATTTTCTTCTGCACATTTTTGGGAAGTAGGTTCTTGGTTGGTCCGTTGTCACAGTGCCTTGCTGCTTACCCTCTCCAACCATATAATATTTAGTATTGAACCTGTCATGCGACTGATTTGGTCACTGGAGTATGTTACCAGTGTCATCGGTATGTGTATAGTCTTCATTATTGCTGCTGACTGAACCTCTGTCAGTTAACTTCGCAATGTGTTCACCAATGCAATGCGTTTTGAATAATGATGGTAGATGGTTAGAGGTGGTTGACAGGAATCAGTAGGCCTTGTTAGCAAGGAATTGACGAGAACTTTTTAACATGAGTAGTTTCCAACTACTCATATCAGTCAATCAGTAGTATAGATGTCGTTTATGGTTTATTTAGAAAATTACAATTCGCCTTTAGCGGTAATCTACAAAGGCATAAGTTGAAATCAGTTAAACTTCACTGTCTGCTACTGATTAGTATTCAATTGTATTTGTTAATGTAAAGTTCTACTAATATATGACTAGAACTTAATTACTTTGGTAGCGTTTAATCCCATCATGGAATTTAAATAAGTCATAATGGAAAAAAAATGGTTAGTTCTGACTTAACTAGTCTTTATGCTAATATACCAATGATTACACCTTTCGAATCAGCTATAGATAAGAAATAACTGCTTATCCCGAACTCATTCATAGGACAAGGCTATCCATTGAGGAAATTATTCTCCCACGTCTAGTGTCTTCCAATTCCAGGGCAAAATATATCAACAAATAGATGGGAGTAGCAGTGGGATTATCAATATCCCCAATCGTAGCAGATATCTTCATAGATATGTGGGAAAATATGGCTCCTGATACATTTGATCCCACTCCAAAGATATGATGAAGCTATGTGAATGACATTTCCACCATGTTAAAAATGGAAAATATCTCTAGTAGAGGGAATAAAACTTACATTTAAGTCAGAAAATGAAGACAGACAATTAGATTCTGAAATAAAATGAACAGAAGAAGGTAAACAATGGATTACTGTTTAAAAAAGCCTAACACATTCTGACAGATATTTAGACTTCAAGTCATCTTATCCGTTATCTGTAAAGGCAGGCTTAGTTATTAAGTGTCTAACAAATCGAGCAATAACCCTGAGTAGTACATCAGAAAACCTAAATAATGAAATAAAATAGAGAAAAGAAACGTTGATGTTAAATAAGTATCCTGTAAAATTCATAATGAAGATTACAAAAGGTCAAAAGAAACTAAAAAAATAATAGTGGGACTAGCATAAATAAGAAAGAATTTGAGGCATGCATAGTTTTACCACATAAAGAAGAGACATCTGAAACTCTAGCTAGGATTCCCAATAAAGCAGGAATTAGGGTGGTGTTTTGTATCTACAAATGCACTCAGGAACAACCTCTATAGGCTGAAAAACTTTATTGAAGACCCAATTAGACAAAATAATTTAAAGTATAAAATACCTTGCAATGACTCTGATATCAACTGTATTGGTCAATCTAGTATATAGGGATCAATGAATTGGTGGATGGTGACTAGCACTAGAATCCACTAACTGACTTCAAGATACATGACCAGACATCGTCAAAGCATCTGTACAAGGAGCTGACATGTTAACCTGAGACTGAGCACTTCGGTCCAATCAATAGACGGGAAAATCTGAAATTCAATTAAATTAATATGACCCGTTGCACAAGAGGTGGCTCTCGTGGCCCAAGTGGTCTAGTGGATGATGCTTTGGTGTTTGAGACTATGGGCACTGGGTTCGAGCCCCAGTGGGAACACCATCACTCACTGGGGAATGCAGGCGCATCCAGATGACGAGTCCCAACTAGGACGAAATGCGCATCCTGGATTCCACTGCTAGTCGCCATCCACCAATTAACTTATAATGCAACTATGTGCACGAAAATCGGAAAGAGGTTATTTGAGCATCTTTGATATATGACTAAGTGCAATGAATTGTCCTCGAAACGTTGTCATCAGTTAGTAATACTGTATCACTATGTGCGTTGATATTAAATATTCATATATATGGTAACTAAAAAAAACTATTTTAATATCTGTTTGTTTTATCTGTAAAAATACATACAAACAGGCGATTCATTCAAAAACAAAAGATACTACATCACCATCGTCACAACCTTCTACACTGGCAAACATGATCAATAATCCTGAAGTATACCAGAAATATAAGAAAAATCTAAAAAAGAAGACACCTTTAGTGAAAAAGAAGAATTCATCCCAGAAATTAGGCTTGCCGAAACATTTTGGCGCTAAAAAACGTCATCGTAATCGCGGATTGTCGTCTACCGGCGGTGGTAACAGCAAACCGAAGCAAAAGAAGAGTCGAAAACAGAAACGTATGCAAAAGGGCTCGATGTAACCTATTTCCACATGCTTATCACTATAGTCAGTGTACAGAGAATATGTATATAAAATACTAATAAAGGTTTTAAATACTTCTGAATCCATTGTTGTTATCAGGGCTCTTTTTTGGGGAGGGGGGCGTGAGTGAGGAATCAGGGTTGTTACTACTACTACTACTAATGACTACTCTTCACTTAACGCTACTCAGTGCTCAATGCTTTAAATGGGTTTCAAGTTTGTGTAGGTATACATCTATGTCCGACTGTTCAGCATAGTTCCATTTTAATGCCACAAGCAATCACCTACCCTATTTATGGCACTGATTGCCCAATAGTTATTGAAATCCCTTTCATTATTTATAAAATAAAGTCATTGATAAAGTTAAATAGTGTGATTTAAAGTGCAGATTACCGCACCAATAAGACTTGGTTCATCAAATCCAATCAACCTTACAATGATTGATCAGTGGGAAGTAACCGGTGTTATACGCAGCAATTCTTTCTGTCCTTCTTTATGGCTGTGAGACATACTCATTGAAAGTGGGAAGTATAATGAAAAGGCTAGTTGTCTTTAATCACAGATGTTTGATTCCTATCTTTTATTGTAATTGGTGGTGAGTAACATTGAAGGTGGGTGTAGAGTGCTAGGTAAGGAAAGTAAATCAATAAATGAGGTTGTGAAACTACATAAGGACTTCGCATCCAGATTTTCGCCTTCATCGGTGAGTAGTGTTAACTGACGTAGGGTTAGGTTGCAGAAGAGTTACAGGTAGGTCAGACCAAAATTCGTCATTAATCCATAAAGTCTTTGACAGTTGGCTTGAACCGACCACGTAGGCAGGTGTAGGCTTCTCGGTCGGAGTTCTCGGGTTCCTAAGGACGATTGGTTGGAGAATACTGGTGATATGGTTGAAATCGTTCTCAATGCTTCAGGTGTATTCACCCTTTGTGATCTCACATATCCGTTAAACACTTATGCTTTTCCATCTGATTATTCTTTCTCCCCTGCATTTTTGCTTTTCATAGTCCTTTTGAATCTCTACTTTCCTGTCTTTTGTCAACCTTTGTGTGGTACGTAGAATGTGCCAACTTGAATTGCCATCCTTCTGTGCAGAGTCTTATGTTAAGACTCAGTCAATCTTTCTATTCCTTGGTGCAGATTGAATTCTGTTAGCTAAGTGAGAAATGTGGTCATCAGGATAGGTGACTCACCATCATGGTGCACTGTGAATTGATGTTAGGTGATTGAATACAATCGGGAGAATGTGCTGAACCTAGTTTTTATGCCTGTTGAAACTTTCATGAGTAAGGTGTATCTGCAGCCTTGATGGAATTGATGTCCTCTCGAAGACTTGAATCCGTGTCAGTTGAGCTTTAATTATTTTCAGTGGACATCTTGTTGTCAACCGACATCATCGACGAGCACTGTATAGGTGTTTCGTCCTAGTTTAAGAATATTCTGTATGCACTCGAGGATTTGACCAGCGGCCAGGTCCAGAGCCTTAATGGTATTAAATGCAACCATTTACAACTATTCAGTCAATAGGATAAAATTCAGTGACTCTTATGAGTTCTAACTACTGTCAATTCGTGATAGAATGAAGTAGACTCTATGGAGTACAGTTAGCCGTTTAGGAAACCAAGATGGTTTAATCAACTTTGCTTTGGATAATTAGCTGGAGATATTTTTTGTCGACTATCTTTCAAGACTCATTGATTAACTTAATAACTAACCACAAGCACATTGTTTGATGGCTTTCCAGACCGAAAAACTGGAATTCTCACTCATTACTCTTCGAAGAATAGTTCCATATAAACGCGTCGATGATGGTAAGAAGTAAATGTATTAAGAGATTTCTTTCTTTCAAATCGATTTCTTTTCATGATCATGTAAAATATAATTCTAATGAAGACTTGAAATGCAAATCCTGTCGGACATCAGTCAATGGTCTGAACTAAATGGTCTCATGCTGAATCCCTCAAAATGCCAGACTATTGACTTCTCCCTTAGGCATAAACGAGATCTACAAACACTAGTAAGTTATCATGAAGCCTGTTGCATTGAGGGGACTAAAATTGAAACTAAGTCTAATGCAAAATGCCTCGGTCTAATTCTATCTTCCGACCTTACTTAGACATCTCATATCCTAACGATTTCTAAGAAAGTGTTCTGTCTAACCTACTACATTAAGAAACTTAGACAATCTGGAATCACCCAACCTCTACTTTCACAATTTGTCAACTCTTGCATCTTACCTATTCTACTTTACTGCTCCCTGTTGGTCTTTCCTGGACTACTGAAAAAGGACTACTACACCATCCTGAGAAGGATGTTGAAGGTAGTTAGTAGGACTAGTGGTGTAAAACTCAGTCAGCTCGTCACTACATTAGTTGATATGCATCTGAATACATGCGAAAAATGGTCTAAAACCATACTCTCCGACCCCCAACTCTCGCCTTGTATCTCATCAAGTAGAACCAGAAATCAGTATAAAATAATCTATGCTCCTACAACCAAGTACAGGAACTCAACGATACCATACTTGGCCCGTGTTCTAAGCGACAGAGACAATGTTAAGCACGAAACCTATGACTTGCTTTGTTGTTAATGACATAATTTTAGGCTCTTTTATTTCTCTCTTATTTTGTATTCTATAGTGAACTCCTTCTTAAACATACTTAGCTACCTAAATTATTAACATTGGCTTACTTTTTGTACTTTACTGTATTCCTTCTTTTGTGTGTCTACTGGTTCCGACTATGTTAGCACTATGAGTAGTACAAAATTTTCCTATCATTAACCATCATGTAATTATTAGTTTTGTGGTTGTTTTTTCTTATTTTTTTGTTTTTTTCGGCAATATTAACCGACAATCATTGGTTGTGAACGCCATAGTCACCACCTTAAAAAATTTTGTATTATGCAGGATTACTCACACTACCACTACAAACACTGCATTAGACCTGACAATAAAAACAAAACAACAACCTTGAAATGTTATTTTATAATAATAATAATAATAATAATAATAATGATTTACTTTATTCCAAAAACAGTACTTGTGATACATAATGGAATTTTCAGCATTAATCACAATATTGTTTAGAGTTGTTTCAACCAAATTAACTCATCATCTTGGCGATAAACATTCATAAATATCATTTCATAACTTCTTGTATGACTATAGCTTTACTGTCACCAAGCATAATCATATCATAGCTTCCACTACCCAATATTGAGTTATTATTATATGATGTTTATTTTCATTTCTACTTCTTGGTATTTTTTCTCATTTAAAAAAATATTTTGTGTTTTTCCTGTTTTTTGCCGTTGTTGTCTTAAAATTTATTTTTTTGAAATACTCCTTTTAAATGTTTGATTATATTAGATGCAAATATTGTAGATATGTGCTGAAAATTCCACACTGTACCACTAGTACTGTTTCTGGAATAAAGCAAATTATTATTATTATTATTATCATTATATCCACCTATTAACACAGAGAAGATATCAAGAATAATCACTAACTGTATTCAGTTAGAGAACTACCAGGAAGTACTGGACACCTGTTCCGTCCTTGTTTGGGACTTTTCAGTGGTACACAGCTATGTTCCCCGACTGTAACGATCTAAACTGGCTTGTTGTGGTCTGAAGGCAAGAAACCGATCTTTGCGTTCTACTCTATAGCTGACCCAAACTTCCTTGAGTTGTGCACAATCACAAAATGCTCCAATCGACAGTGAAAAGACAGTTATTTTCAGTAAAATCTGTGGTTCTATTCAACAATCATAATATATTAAGTAGTCAAAATTACCTCAACACTTGCCATAGGCTGGTATTCAGGTCATATAAGTTTCTACTACAAAACAAGTACTGTAGGCCAAAATTCAACCGTAAAAAGCACCTTGTAGTCAATTAGAATATTCACAACAAGGTGGGCTCAAAACTCTATCCACAATGAGTCATACACCAACAACTCCCGCAGACAGTTCAAGGTCCGAATGATCTTTATTCACTCAAACAAAATCGCAGTTGTAAAAAAACGCACTATCAAACTATCTTGCACAACCACAATGAGAAGCATTAAAATTAGAGATGAAACAGGAACAAAGACAAATAATAAGGATTAAGTCAATAGATAATTCAAAAATGTTAAGACAATGATATACAGCCCAGGAGAAAAAGGATGATAATTACAGAGTTAGTTGTAACATCTGAATATGTATAAATATTAAAACAAGATTGTTCAGGCGAGATTTTCTAAATTATTCTGTTACACAGGCCAGGGATCGAAGTCAGGATCTTCAAGTTATAAGATGAGCTCGTATACCATTAAACCACTGAGACGAGATCCCATTCGTCCAACGGCTTTAACTTCTGTAAGTTCGCCAGTATAGCGTGACCACTTGCCAAAGTCATCGACCAGCAGTTGTCCTCATACCTAACTTGGTAGATCTCACTGCTCATGACTTCCAAATAGATAACTTCACCTTGTAATCAGTCACTAGTGGGCATTAGATTAATTTTCAAGTATTTGTCTTCAGGGATATGATTGATTCCAAGATTGGTTACTAATTGTCTTGAGTTAGAGAACCACTGAAAGCAATGGGAGAGCTCTGGACAGCTGTTTTGTCCTTGTTTCGGACCCCTCAGCATTGGTTCTCTAACTGATGTCAGTTCATGATCAGTTTTGAAATCAATCAAATCACCTTGACAAACTAACATTTGAGAAATGAGATGTTAGTGGTGTTTTGCGACTTCGTTAGTGATTATAAGAGATATGGTCATTCAGAAAATTCGGTGAATTTAATATTCTTATAAATAATTTGGGAGAATTCTTACTTTTCCAATCTGTAATACTAACAAAGAAGGATGAAACTTTCTGATTTTGATTGTCCGTCGATAGGGGAATCGTACCACTCTTCATATGAACTGACCAGAACATCTGGAAAGTAGAGGAAATTTTTTGACCGATTACGTAATAGGATCACTGCACACTTAGGGCTCACTCATAGG